AAGGTTTCTCCCCAGTATGGATTCTCTGGTGTACGGTAAGCTGTGACTGCAGGCGGAAGGACTTCCCACATTCCTTACATTCACAGGGTTTCTCTCCAGTATGGATTCTCTGGTGTACTGTAAGTTGTCCACTCAGGCGGAAGAGTTTCCCACATTCATTACATTCATAAGGTTTCTCTCCAGTGTGAATTCTCTGGTGTGCAATAAGCTGTGACCTCATGAGGAAAGCCTTCCCGCATTCATTACATCCATAAGGTTTCTCTCCAGTATGAATTCTCTGGTGTACAGTAAGCCGTCCACTTAGGTGAAAGGCCTTCCCACATTCTTTACATTTAAAAGGCTTTTCTCCAGTATGAATTCTCTGGTGTAGAGTAAGTTGTGAGCTCAGCCTGTATGCTTTCCCACATTTGTTGCACACGAAAGGTTTCTCTCCAGTATGGATTCGCTGGTGTAAAGTCAGCTGTGACCTCAGGCGGAAGGCCTTTCCACATTCTTCACATTCAAATGGTTTCTCTCCACTGTGGATTCCCTCATGCAGAATAAGCTGTGAATTCCAGCGGAAAGCCTTCCCGCAGCCCTTACACTCATAAGGTTTCTCTTCAGTATGAGTTCTCTGGTGGTGGGTAAGTTCTGTTGACCAAAGGAAAGTTTTCCCACATTCATTACACTCATAAGGTTTCTCATCAGTGTGTAATTTATGATTTTCCATAAGGTCTGAATGATTACTAAATGATTTCCCATTTTCATTGTCCTTAGGAATGATCAATTCTGAAAGGACTGATTCTACACCAAAGCTTCTGCCATTCTTAGTATATTCACGGTTTTTCACTTTGCTTCGTCGCTTCCTCTGAGTGATTTTTACTTTGCTAGAATGTTTCTCCTCATAATTCCGTAGGCTCTTTAAGTTGACATCACATTCCCAGTCTTCTCTCAAATTTAAGACACAAGGACTGTCCACTTTGAGTTTTCCCCTGGAAGATTCTTCTATAAATATGCCCAGTGCTGAACTTAACTCTTTGTTTTCAAGTCTAGTTTCCCAATCTGAAAGAAATAAAACAAGTAAATATTCCATGATAGCCCTGATACATATGGCCTGTCTACTGTGTCTTCTATTAAGAAATAAGATTGTAATATTGTAAAAAGTAGAACAAATCATACTATAATCTTAAGTTTGGAGCTTTGAAATGTCCTTTGAAAACTGTAAACTTGGATGGGAAAAAATACATCTTTATTTCAATATAATTGGTTTCCCTTGTAATTCTATATAGTTTTATTGCATGCATTTAAAAACATGACTCTGAGAAAAGGTCTTTTGGCTTTACCAGCTGGCCAAAGGCATCCATTATACAGAAAGGATAAGAAGCCATGTGGTAAAAGGACTATGTCAGTGATTATTATAATTAGTCAGATACACCATATGAAATCTTTCTCATGGATAAAAGACCTTGGTGAGATAGGTAGAGCAGTTATTACAAGTTACAAAATAGGAAACTGAGGTTTATGTAGATTTTTTGTGACTCCCCTAGAGCATACTGCTAAGTCATAGAATCACAGAATCTGAGAGGGAAGAGGTGATAGGGAATGGTCCCAAGCCGAGAACTTTGCCCCTCACCCCAAAAAAGGAATTTGGGTCCCTGTGTCTGGAGGATTCTCCTTGAATTCTCCCACTTGATCAAGGAAGTTTCTTGGCATTTGCCTGAGGCTATAATCCTATCAGCTGGCCTTTCGCCTCCTACACCCAATCTCCCAATTCTGTTACCCTTACCTAGCCTAGCCCTCCATTGTCCTGCAGGTGGCCCTCACCATTTCCCACCCTTGATCCTATCTAAACTCCATTCTACCTCCCAGTCACTCCCATCAAGACTTTCCACTCCTGGCCCTCCCACGGCCTTTCTGTATATGAGATTCATTTTGTCTCCATGAAGGTGCTCAGATTCTTTAAGAACCTAGCCAAGGCCTCAAATTTTTACAATCCAGCCAATAGCTCGCACATGTTCAGACTCCTTAAGAGTCTGGCCAATATGGTGGATCTCTTCAATAAACGTTAGCTGTGGCTGAAAGAAAGCTTGGGTCACATCCTTTTGGCAGGACCCACACCTCTTGCTCTCAATATTTTGGGGTCCCAGCACCTCTAAACCTCAACAGAACGACCCAATAGCCATCTAGTCTAAACTACACACAAAAGGAATCTCATCATAATAACTTCTTGTTGTCCATCTTTCGTTCTGGAAGAAGACCAATGACATCATGAGGGTGATGTCTTGACTTGCTCCTGAATTGGATTTAAGTGAGGCAGAGCTGCACAAAGTCATCAGAGTCCAGTGGCAAGACCAGAGTCAAGGTGACTCGGGGTGGCCCAGGATGCAAAGGGTGACCTTGGCCTTTTTAAATTAAGGTCTTTCCTAGATCTCAGTCTGTGTGAGGCAACACCCATTTAATGACTAAGGGCTAGGTTAGAACTGAGGCACAAGATAGTCTAGTTTACCATCACAAAAGTATCAATCTGGGAGGGGAAGACCTTCTGAGTTTCTGGCCAGAACAGAAAACAATTGCTATTTACACTCACTGTTAGCCATCAAAACCCAAACAACGAGCAAGAGAGGCAAGAGAGGCTTGGGCTGGGGCCTGTTACTGGCCATTCAATGAAAGCCAGAGGGATTTCTTTTTCTTTTTTCTTTTTTTTTGTTGGTGAGGACAATTGGGGTTAAGTGACTTGCCCAGGGTCACATAGGTAGTAAGTATCAAGTGTCTGAGGTCTGATTTGAACTTAGGTCCTCCTGACTCCAGGTCTGGAGCTCAATCCACTGCGCCACCTAGCTGCCCCATGATTTCATTTTAAAGGCACAGTCAGGTAGCTCCATCTGAATCACAATGGGCTTTTTAAAGGCCTGATTTTCTAGAGTTATATTTCAAGAACTCATAAATGAAACCTTGCAGAACAAAGAGTAAATTGTCCCAGACTTTTTGGGGAAAAAAATTAGCCCTCAAACCACAAGATATCTTATCTCCTAAACCCTCTCCCAATCCCATCTTCCCTACTATTGGAGAAGGCGACACCACCCTTCCAGTCCTCCACGCTCACAACCTAGATATCACACTTGACTCTTCACCATTTTTCAGTCTCCACGTCCAATCTGTTGCTAAGGCCTATCATTTGTACCTTTGTAACATCTCTTACACATACCCCCGCTTTCCTGAGACACGGCCACTCCCCTGGCGCAGACCCTTTTTGCCTCATGCCTGCATCACATGCCTGTGATGATAGTTCTGCCTGCCACAAGTCTCTCCTATTCCAGAACCAAAGTCATTTTCCTAAAGTGCAGATCTAACCATGTCATCCCTCTACTCAATAAATTCCAGTGGCTCCAAAACTACTATAATCAAATATGAATAGTGTTCTACTTGGCCAAAAGGGGCTCTCGTGGCACAGTGCGTAGAGCACTGGTCCTGAGGTTAGGAAGACTCATGTTTCTGAGTTCAAATCTGGCCTCAGACACTCACTAGTTGTGTGACCCTCGGCAAGTCACTTCACCGTTTGCCTCAGTTTCCTCACTTGTAAAATGAGCTGGAGAAGGAAATGGCAAACCACTGCAGTATCTGTGCCACGAAAACCCCAAATGGTCACAAAGAGTCAGACACAACTGAAATAAGTGAACAGCCCCCACCTTTGGCTCTAGAGCCCTTCACATCACCTCACTCCCTTCCACACACTCTCCACTCGGTGACCCTGGCCCCACATGCTCCTCACACGTGGCACGCCACCACCCAACTCCGCATTTTTACCATCATCTCCCCTTTCTAACTTCCCTGGCATCCTGCAAGTCTCAGCTAAAGTTGCCCCTTCACCAATAAGCCTTTTCTCAACCTCCTGGATGTTGGAGCCTTTCCTCTGAGATCGTATCTGACACGTCCTGTATACATTGTTTGTGTATTGTTCTCCCAGTGGGCCATGAGCTCTTGAGAACAAGGATTATTTTTTGCCTTTCTTTGTAACCTTGGTACTAAGCACAGTGCCTGGCACATAGCAGATGCTTAATAAATGCTTATTAACTAGACACAACTATTTTTTTTAAGATGAGAACAGGTGAAGCAGAGCCAAGATGGCTGAGTAAAGGCAGGGACTCACCTGAGCTCTCCCCCGAACCCCCCCAAATACCTTTAAAAGTGACTCTAAACAAAGTCTACAGCAGCAGAACCCTGAAAAAGATGGAGTGAGACAAATTGCCTGCCCGGGGACACTTGGAAGGTCAGTGGGAAAGGTCTGTCACACCCAGGTGAGAGCGGAGCACAGACCCGGCACCAGCAAACCAGGAACAGGCCTTGGGACTGAATGAGCAGCGGCAGTGGCTGCTTCTGGAGCTCTCAGCCCACAGACGTCAAGGGTCAGAAGGAGAGTACAGGGGTCTCTTTGCTAGCACCGAGGCAGGACCGTGTTGCTCTGCCCAGGCTTGGATCTGGGTTGCAGTCCTGGGTGCAGCCCGGGGCACGCAGGAGCACGAGCACACCAGAGCTTGCTGCCCCTCACCGTCCCAGGGTGCGGAGGACTAGCACACCTGAGATTGTGGCCACCGTGGAGGAGGGACTCTCGCCACAGTTCCAGGACAGAAAAGAGTGCTTGTGGTCACTCACAGACCAGAACACAGGCCAGGAGAGCCTCAAATACCTCTCCTTAGATCATACTACCTTGGAAAAGCCAAAAACTTACAGGTCCCTAGAAATATCTCTGAAAACAGCTGCACAAAACCCCTGAAGTTTGGCACAGTTCACCCTCTCCACTGGAAGCAGAGCCTTACCTGAACAAAGAGCTGAAAAGTCAAGTAATAGGCTGGGAAAATGAGCAAACAATGAAAACAAACCCTCTACCTACAGAAACTTACTCTGATGACAAGGAAGATCAAAACACACACTCAGAAGAAGACAACGAAGCCAAAGCTCCTACGTTCAAAGCCTCCAAGAAAAATATGAACTGGTCTCAGGCCATGGAAGAGCTCAAAAAGGACTTTGAGAATCAATTAAGAGAGGTAGAGGAGAAATTGGGAAGAGAAATGAGAATGATGCAAGAAAATCATGAAAAAGAGGTCAACAGCTTGGTAAAGGAGACAGAAAAAAATACTGAAGAAATAACACCTTAAAAAATAGACTAGGCCAAATGGTAAAAGAAGTCCCAAAAGCCAAATGAGGAGAAGAGTGCCTTAAAAAACAGAACTGGCCAAATGGAAAAGGAAGTCCAAAAGCTTACTGAAAAAAAAAATTCCTTAAAAATTAGAACGGAGCAAATGGAAGCTAGTGACTTTATGTGAAATCAAGAAAAAATAAAACAAACCCAAAAGAATGAAAAAATAGAAGGGAATGTGAAATATCTCACTGGAAAAACAACTGACCTGGAAAACAGATCCAGGAGAGATAATTTAAAAATTATTGGACTACCTGAAAGCCATGATCAAAAAAAGGGCCTAGACACCATCTTTCAAGAAATTATCAAGGAAAACTGCCCTGATATTCTAGAACCAGAGGGCAAAATAGAAACTGAAAGACTCCACCAATCATCTCCTGAAAGAGATACCCAAAGGAAAACTCCTAGGAATATTGTAGCCAAATTCCAGAGTTCCCAGGTCAAGGAGAAAATATTGCAAGCAGTCAGAAAGAAACAATTCAAATATCATGGAGCTACAGTCAGAATAACACAAGATTTAGCAGCTTCTCCATTAAAGGATTGGAGGGTTTAGAATATGATATTCTGGAGGGCAAAGAAACTAGGATTACAACCAAGAATCACCTATCCAGCAAAACTGAGTATAATCCTTCAGGGGAAAAAATAGACATTCAATGAGATAGAGAACTTCCACTCATTCTAGATGAAAAGACCAGAGCTGAATAGAAAATTTGACTTTCAAATACAAGGACTCAAGAGAAGAATAAAAAGGCAAACAGAAAAGGAAAATCATAAGGAACTTAACAAGGTTAAATTGTTTACATTCCTACATATGAAGATGATATTTGTAACTCATAAGATCATTCTCATTATTAGGGTAATTAGGAGTATATATAGATAGAGGGCATAGGTGTAAGCTGAATATGATGGGATGACATCTAAAAAATAAAATTAAAGGGTGAGAGAGGATTGTCCTGGGAGAAAGACAAAGGGAGTGGTAGAATGGGGTAAATTGTCTCACATAAAAGAGGCTAAAAAAAAGCTTTTATAATGGAAGGGAGGAGGGGGAGTGATGAGGGGAACTGAGTGAACCTCACTCTCATCAGAACTGGCTCAAAGAGGGAAAAACACATACATTAACTGGGTATAGACATCTATCTTACTCTACAGGAAAGTATGAGGGGAGGGGGATAAGAGAAGAGGGGGATGACAGAAGGGAGAGCCGAGTGGGGGAGGGGGGAGTCAGAAGCAAAACACTTGGGGACAAGGTAAAAGGAAAGAATAGAATAAACGGGGCTGGGGTTAAGGGGAAATAGACTGGAGAGAAACACAGTTAGCAATAGTAACTGTGAAAAAAATTTTGAAGCAAGTTTCTCTGATAAAGGCCTCATTTCTCAAACACATGGAGAACTGAGTCAAATGTATAAAAATAAGAGCCATTCCCTAATTGATAAATGATCAAAAGATATGATCAGTTTTCAAGTTAAGCAATCAAAGCTATCTATAGCCATATGAAAAAATACTCTAACTCACTAATGATTGAAGGAATGCAAATTAAAACAGTTCTGAGGTACTCCCTCATGCCTATCAGATTGGTTAATAGGACAGAAGAGCTAAATGACAAATGTTGGAGGGGATGTGAGGAAAATGAGACATTAATGCACTGTTGGTGGAGTTGTGAACTGATTCAACCATTCTGTAGAGCAATTTGGAACTATGCCCAAAAGGTTATAAAACCACACATACCAATACAACTTCTGGGTCTGTATCCTAAAGAAATCACAAAAACGGGAAAAGGACCCACATGTACAAAAACATTTATAGAGGCACTTTTTGTGGTGGCAAAGAACTGGAAATTGAGGGTATATCCACATTTGGGGAATGGCTTAAACAAGTTGTGGTATATGAATGTAATGGAATACTACTGTGCTACAAGAAATGATGAAGAGGCAGACTTCAGAAAAACCTGCAGAAACTTATATGAACTGATGCACAGTGAAATGAGCAGAACCAGGAGAACATTGTATACAGTAACAGTCACATTGTGCAATGACTAACTTTGACAGACTTGGCTCTTTTCAGCAATACAAGGATCTAAGACAACTCCAAGACTCATGATGGAAAATGCTATCCACATCCAAAGAAAGAACTTTGGAATCTGAATGCAGATAGAAGCAGATTATTTGCTCTCCTTTTCTTCTGTAGTTTTGTTTTGTTTCTTCTTTCTCACGGTTCCTCCCATTAGTTCTAATTCTTCTTTACCTCATGACTAATGTGAAAATATGTTCAATATGAATGTATAAGTAGAGCCTATATCAGATTGCACACCATCGTGGAGAGGGGGGAGGAAACAGAGGGGAAGAAAATTTAAAATTCAAAATCTTATGTAAATGAATGTTGAAAACTAAAAATAAATAAATTATTTCAAAACAAAACAAGCATACCCTTTGACCTAGTAATACTGCTACTAGGTCTGTATTCCAAAAGAGATAAAAAACAAAAAGGGAGAGGACTTACATGTACAAAAATATTTATAGCACCTCTTTTCTGGGGGCAAAGAATTAGAAATTGCGGGGATGCCCATTAATTGGGGAATGGCTGAACAAGTTGTGGTACATGATTATGATTGGACTGTGAGAAATGATGGGCAGAATGTTTTCAGAAAAGCCTGGAGAAACATGCATGGGCTGATGCAAAGTGGAATGTAGCGGTACAAAGTAACAGCAACAGTATAAGATAATCAGCTGTGAATGACTTAGCTATTCTCAGCAATATGATACATCTGAAGGACATATGAAGATAAATGCTATCCAACTCCAGAGAAAGAACTGATGCTGTTTGAATACAGACTGAAGCATGCTTTTTTTAGTTTCTTTATTTTTCTTGAGGTTTTTTTTTTTGTCTGTTTTCTTTCACAACATGACTACTATGGAAGTGTTTTGCATGACTACCCATGTATAACCTATGTCGAATTGCCTGCCTTCTCAATGAGGGTGGGGAGGGAGGAAGAGAATTTGGAACTCAAAGTTTTAAAAACAAATGTCAAAAATGGTTTTAAATGTTAACTAGGGGAAATAAAATATTAAAAATAAAAAAATTGAAATGAGAACAGGAATACAACATTACAAAGTATACAGAAGACAAAGCTTCTGAGGAGAAAAGAAAGCAAATGGGACATACCGTGCTTTCTTTTGTTGCAATACACCTTTAGGAGAGTCAGTGAATGCATAGCCAAGGGAAGTGATCCAGAAAATGACTGCTAAGAACAAGGCAATGCCAAAGAAAGAGGGAAGGAAAAGTTCTCTCCCCTCCTAAGGCTGCAGGGGCTGACCAACAGGAGGACAGGAAGGAAATGTGCAGTGCAGAAATGAGGCTTTCAGAAGCAGCTCATGCCCAGGGGCCTCAGCTCTTCTCCAGACGCCTGGAGTCTTTGAGGAGAGCTCCCTGGTCCAGCCTGGTCCAAAAGCCCAGGCCTGACTGGCTCCTGCCCAGGGTTACTCACTCACCTGGACGGCTGCTTCTGGAGAAGCCTTCCCCTGGCCTCCACGGTGGTTCCCCTTGCTCCAGCCGCTGGATCACATCTGGTTTGGCTCCTGCAAGCCCTGGGGGCAGATAGGAAAGAGCTGAAGACATCCCCCTCAGCATCCTGACTCCAGCCCTAGCTTACAGGGTCAAGGCCCACAAATGGAGCAAAGGGCCTGCACGGAAGGGTGGGGCAGACAGTAGGACGGGCACCAGAAGGGGCCTCCTTCATTCTACTGGGAACTTCCCTGGGGTGGGTCGCTGCCCAGGAGGGGAGGGAGAAGTTGGAGTCTCCCAACGGGGAGGGACAACGAAGGGGGGATGGGGGATGGGGAGGGACAAGGAGGGGGGATGGGGGATGAGGAAGGACACTGAAGGGGGGATGGGGGATGGGGAGGGACAAGGAAGGGGGCATGGGGGGTGAGGAAGGACACTGAAGGGGGGATGGGGGATGGAGAGGGACAAGGAAGGGGGGATGGGGAGAGATAACAAGGGGGGGATGGGGAGGGACAAGGAAGGGGGAAAGGGGAGGGACAAGGGGGGATGGGGGATGAGGAGGGACGTCGAAGGGGGGATGGGGAGGGACACCTGGGGGGGCCCTTCTCTACCTCCCGCAGCCCTGGCTCCCCCCTCCACCGGGGCAGATACCGGGTCCCAGGGGCACCCCCTCCTCACCCACGCAGACCAGGTTCCCGTAGTTTTCCAGCATCACCTCCCGGTACAGCTCCTTCTGGGCGGGGCCCAGGTGCCCCCACTCCTCCCAGGTGAAGTCCACGGCCACGTCTTGGAAGGTCACTGACCCCTGAAAGACCCAAGCCACATGCGCTTGCCCAAGGCCAGCCCAGGGAGGGGAGGGCAGGGCAGGCTGGGCAGCTGCCTCTGGGGCCCCGGGCGGGGGGGGGGGGGCGCACATCCCCATCTCCATCCCGAGGGAGGGGGGTGTGGGGGCACAGGGGTCAAATCTGGCCTCAGGACCCAGGCTGGTCCATCTGTAAAATGGGGAGAGCGGGCGCTACACAAATGCAGGCGGGGCTTGCAGGGGGATCAGTGGGGCAATCAGCGTGGACTAAGCACCTACTGTGTGCCGGCTTCAGCAGGCTGGGGAACCAGGGCAGAGGGGGAGGGCCCGGACCCCCTCCCCAGAGCCAGGGCTCTAGCAGATGGGCGGGGTGGGCGGAGCCCCTCACCTGGCGGGGCTTGCCTCTCAGGTGGGAGGTGGGAGCCATGCCTTCCTCCTCCTCCGCCGCTGATTGGCTCCTGCGCCTGGCCCTGCTAGGATGACCAATGGGAGGGCGGGCCCGCGGAGGGGGCGTGGCGTGGCTAGGCCCAGGGCTCACAAGTCACTGCGCAGGCGCGGCCCGCTCCGAGGTGGCGGCCTCCGGCTCCACCTGCCCGTGGCTTCCCAACGTCCCCTTCCCCTTCGGCGCCCCCTCGGCCGGCTGCGCTCCCGCCCCTACTCACGGTAGCCCGGGACACAGGGACCCCGAAGTGAGTTCCGCCGACGCAAGGAGGAGCCGCGGGAGCGGAAGTGACGAGAGACGGCAGTGGCTCCGCCCTCCCCGGCCCTGAGGGGGCCGCTGAGCCTCGGTTTGGGCATGAAAAGCCTTCTGGGAGTTGTAGGCCGGTGTCCTAGGGTGGGAGGCGAAAGAAGCGTTCTGCGCCTGCGCCTTCTCCTCCTGGCCACCTCCCTCCCGTCCCTAAGAGCGCAAGTCCTTCTGGGAATCGTAGTTCTCCCTCACATGCTCTTATGGGGGAAGGGGAGAGTAAGGCAAGGTGGCCTAGGCCAGGTGCATATTTTTCCTATCTCCCCACCCCCTTCCTCCCTCGTCATCTTCCTCTCTGTCCCTCCTCCTCCTCCCTCCCCTTTCATTCCATCCTCCCTCCCCCGTCCATCGCTTTCTCCCATCCCATCCCCTCCCCATCCCCTCCCCCTCCTCCTCTTCCTCCTCCATGCTTCCTTCCTCTTTCCTCTTCCCCTCCTCCGCACACGTCCTCCTCCCCTCAGCAGGCGCCTCCAGGCCACCTGGCACTTTTGAGCGTCCTGGATAGAGAGCCTGGCCTGGAGTCGGGAAGACCGGAGTTCAAATCTAGCCTCAGACCCATTTGACTAGCTAGGTGACCCTGGGCGAGTCATTTAACCCTGTATGCCTCAGTTTCCTCATCTGTAAAATGGGGATAAGAACCCCCCCCCCCCACCTGCCAGAGTTCTTGTGATGACCAAATGAAGTAACATCTGTAAAGTGCTTAGCATGATGCCTGGCGCGTAGTGTGGTCCATGGAAGCGTTAACTGTATTATTATTAACATTTGTCAACATAGGTTGGTTTCGTTCCAGGCCCAATGCATTGGTCTTCTCTCTCCTTTGGTGCTGTTTCACAAATTCCTTTTTTCAAATTTATAATTTATTTTTTAACATTCTTTTCTTTTTAAATTTTGAGTCCCAGATTGCCTCCCATCCACCCCTGCCCCACCCACAGAAAAGGCAAACAATTTCACAAGTTCTTACCCTGAGGGCCTGGATTTTTTTAATTTTCAAAGTATTTTATTTTTCTCCAAATATACTATTTTGACATTAATTTTTTAAAATTTTGAGTTCCAAATCCTCTAATCCCGCACTCCCCTCCCCTCTCATTGAGAAGGCAAGCGATTTGATATAGGATTTACCTGCAGGCATGTTGAAAAAGAACATAAAAATGACGTTTTTAAAAACGCATGCTTCAGTCTACATTCAGACTCGACCAATTCTTTCTCTGGAGGGAAATAGCGTTTTTCATCATAAGTTCTTCGGAATTGACTTGGATCGTTGCATTGCTGGGGACAGCTAAGTCATTCACAGCTGATCGTCCTGCTACATTGGGACCGTATGCAATGTTCTCCTGGTTCTGCTTACTTCACTTTACCTCCATTCGTGTAAGTCTTTCCAGTTTTTTTCTGAAAGCATCCTGCTTGTCATGTCTTATAGTACAAATAGTATTCCATCATAATCACATACCACAACTTGTTCAGCCATTCCCCAACTGATGGGCATCCCCTCAATTTCCAATTCTTTGACACCACAAAAAGAGCTGCTATAGATATTTTTGTACAAATAGGTGTACCGGCCACGCCGACCTTATGCCGGCTGCGCCGAACACTCCTCCTATAAGGAGCAGGCTGCCAGAGTCATACTCACTCATCAGTCTTCGGTCCTCAACCGGATAAACACACACAGAGACGGACCCATCGGGAGGCTGCCAACACCAGAGCTTTATTCAGAGGCCATCACAGCAAGCCATCAGAGCAGGAGAAAAAAGAGTTATAAATGCCCAATGGGTTACAAGGGAGGGGATGGGGAAAGAGGCATGCTTAATCCAAATCACTAAGGTGATGAACAATATCATCAGTCTCGTGTTGGTGCCAAGTGTCAGATATGTTCCGTGCCAGTCTAATTAACACCCGCAAAGCCTGGAGTACAGAGGAAAGATTTGTAGTCTGGATCTGGGAAAGGGCACGGGTATCATTACACCAAATAGAAAAGAAAGGGAGAGTGTCATTTATGCTTTGTGAAACGGTGTCGCAAGTGGCGTTATGATTTAAGGGTGTTACACAAATGGATCAATATCAGCCATGGCATGGCAACTGCTGTCTCAATTCCAGCCACATAAGTTCATTCCCAATGTCCTGAGTAGCCAATGCTACTTTTTCAATCTGCTCCTCCAGCTGCTGATCAATATCAGCCTGCACCTGGAGGGCTTGGGCGAATTTATTGGCCAGTTCCTCTATTTGTGAGGCAAGCAATTGCTGTCCACTATATAAGTCCTGTATCTGGAACTCCTCGAAGATGGATGCTGCCAACACCAAGTGCCCCAGCCATTCTGTCTTGTGTCCCAGGACACTGGAGCTGAGGCAACCTGTGGCAAAGTCCTGATCGCGCAAAAAGTGAAAACAGTTTTACTCAGTTTAGACATCCTAACTGTCTTTTCTTTCTGCTCTCTCTGAATTTTCTGTTGACTGTGTTTCTTCTCCCGTCCTTGTTGTCTCTCCCGGGGCTTCTTCAACTCGTTTTATTCTTCTTTCTGGTACCCAGCGGCTCCGGCCATCAGGATCTGTAAGACATAAATACCCCGGCCCTCTCCACAACACTACAGATGGGCCTTGCCAGTTTCCTTCATCGTCCTTCCAGAGGACTTTCTGGTTAAGGGATGGTGCATGTAGTGCTGTTTTTAAGGGGCCAGATGAATTACAAGTGGGTGATGTTATTAGCTGTAGCATGCTAGGGGATAGGCCCGTGTCTCTATCTAGACAGAGAAAATTGTATGTATATAAAGCTTTATCCACATCTGCTTGGGTAGGCCACTGCCCTGAGCCCCGACCTCCTACTCCCCCTTTTTGTTTACTGAGGGTAGCTTTCAAGGTATGATGGGCTCGCTCAACAATAGCCTGACCTGTGGGGTTATAGGGGATCCCTGTAACATGCTTAATGCCAAAGGATGTAAAAAAGGCAGTCATTTGTGTAGATAAATAGGCAGGTCTGTTGTCAGTTTTAATGACATGAGGGATCCCCACAGAGGCAAAACAATGGTACAGATGCTTAATAACTGATGGGGTGTTCTCCTTACTGGATACAGTGGCCATTATAAATTTGGAAAAAGTATCAATGCAGACATGGATAGTGACGCGGCCAAGGTGAGTGACATCCATTTGCCACAAGTCATTGGGAAAAAGACCTCGTGGGTTAATCCCCTTACTGGATGGAGGGGGGAGAAAAGGAACACAGCGCACACATCGCCTCACAATTTGTCGAGCCTGTTCACGAGTTAAACCACACAGGCGTCTCAGGGAGCTCGCTGGTAGGTGTAAAAAATCATGGGCTTGTTCAGGAGGGGTGAGGACTGGCAGTAGAGAGCACTGTAAGGCACGATCCGCTACATCATTGCCTTCAAAAATGCCTCCTGAGGTGGACTGATGAGAATAAACATGGAGAATGTAGAGGGGGTTGTTTCGCTGCAACAAAATTTGCTGTAATTCCCTCAGGAGAGAGGATATGGTGGACTTATGAGGTTGGAGGACGGCGTCCTCTATGCATTTAAGAACCTTTACTGCATATAGACTATCAGAGATTATGTTTATAGGCTCAGGATATTTACGGCAAGCCTGGAGGATGGCAAAGAGCTCATTTTTCTGGGTAGAGTCATAGGGGGTTTCTAATACTGTTATTTCCTTGGAGGCTTCATGATAAATAGAGTCCTTATTGTTTTTTGTAGCATCAGTGAAAACATTTGAGCCTTGAACAGGTTCTCCCAAAACCTTTCGTTGGGGTGGTTCTAAGGTTATTTGCTCCAGCATGGGGAGAAGCAGGCAGGAGGAATGGGGACTTATCTCGGCCCATTGGGAGCAATGTGCCCAAGACCAATAGGTTTGCATAATGGCTTCTCGCTGTCCAGGTTCAAAAATTGAGTAAAGTAAAGGTCGCTGCCCAGACAAGTGGACAGCCCTTTGTACTGCAGCTAAGGCTAGTTCCCCTAACATCTCATAATAATTTGGCAGTACTTTGTGAGCCTTCTTTGCATATACAAATTCTAATAATTTGGGACCTTGGTGTATAACACAAAAAGGGCTCTGTTGATTGACCAAGGAGATCTCTATTCTACCTTTGGGGTCCCATCTGGCGGTCTGGGCCTGGGCAGCAAGTGAGAATATTTGGGACACTGCTGCCTTAGCAGCAGGAGTCCATGCCCGAGGGGAGTTCAAATCTGAATTTCCTTTTAATATATCATATAAAGGCTGCATTACAGCAGGAGGAATGGGTGTGCGGGCCCTGAGCCATTGGATCTGTCCCACTAACTTTTGGAAGTGATTCAAGGTGGTTATCTTATCAAGCCCTAGTTCAGGAATTTGATTGCTAATAGAAACAGCCTCCATACAAAGGCCCAGGTATGTGAGTGGGTAATTTTGTTGGACTTTGTCAGGGGCCACCACCAAACCATAATGAGCAAGTGCAGAGACAGTTTCTTTTACCAATCTTGCTAGTGTCTCATCAGTGCTAGTGGCTAATAAAATATCGTCCATATAATGAAGGATTGTGGCTTTAGGCCATTTGTCCCTGATAGGGTCCAGCACTCTCCCCACATAAGCCTGACATAAGGTGGGACTGCAGCAGATTCCTTGGGGCAGGACCTTCCACTGATATCTTAAATCTGGTCCTGCATTATTGGTAGTGGGTATGGTAAAGGCAAATCTCTTTCTATCTTCTGGGGATAATGGGATAGAGAAAAAACAATCTTGGATGTCTATGACTGTCACAGGCCATCCAGAAGGCACTAGGTTAGGGGAGGG